AATGAATATATAATATATATATAGTAAAAAACTGTAACAAGAAAGAGAAAATTCTATTCTTCTATCTACACAAGGGCTATGACTATAATTACTACACTAAATAGAGATAAATGGATCAAAAAGGAAAACAAAAATAATTTGTATGGCAAAAAAGATAGACTTGACAAACAATACAAAAGCCTTTCTTTACCGACTTTTGTTGCTGAGAGGACAGAAAGCCTAAATGAAAAACACTTCTGATATAATGGATAAAATCCATGATCTAGAGAAAAAATATGAACACCAAAAAATGCTTTACTAACTTTTATAGTACTAGTCTGAGCTCATAACTTCTAATATTGGTTAAAGCTGCTAAGGTAGATGTTTTTGTTCAGTTTCTTTAGTTTTCAATTAATTTATACAATTTATGTTAGGAAGGTAAATAAGCTGTTAAAGTGAATAATCAGTTGAAGGTGATTTCAGTTTTTAATAAGGCCTTCAAATTTATTTTTAAAATTTAGAGAGATTTTGTAATAAATTGCTAACTTGCATTAAGCGGCTAGGATACTAAAAAGAAAAAGAAGTCATATATTTTTCAGTAGACTTTTCCAACTTTTAATACTGTAGAATATATTCGGCTATCTAAGACTAACACTAAGTTATAGTATTATGTGTACAGTACTAAGAATCGTTGTGGTAGATATAAGAACTACGCTGTAGTACTGTACTGTCACCGTAGATTGCATAATTACCTATCGAAGTTAGAAATTCAATATAACTCAGACTGCAGATACATAAAAAAAAGAGAGATAAACTGCATATCATGTGGTTAGAGAGTGCCCGGCACTGCTGCAAAAGCGGTTCCTAAGGATCCAAAACGAGAAAAGATAGGCTTTATACTGTCTTTTATTAAAGAAATCAGACTTGGAGAAACACTCTAATACAATGAAATTAAAAAACAAAAATGTTTGTATTGTATTCACACCAGCGTTTTGATTGTAATTTTAGCTGTCAAAATTTTTTAATTGTCATCTGAAATCAACAAATTAATTAAATTAATAGCGACACGACTTATCATTCTAACTTGATTGTTAGATATATCATGTGTTCATACTTTTTAATTACTTTTATAAAATATTTATTTTGCACATATGATATAAGCATATGATAAATAATAATTTTGTTTCATTTTACATGAAAATTTCATTCATTCCTCAAAACTATTCACAATAGCATGAGTTAGTATTGCACAATACTGTACTACAGTGATTGGATCACCGTAGTTGAATCCAAAATCAATTTGATTTTGTAAAAATTATGAATAAATTCTATATTCAGCTTTCGAAACTCCGATACATAGATTTTTGATTTGAAATTATTTATTGTGGAAATCAAAATCAAGAATAATTTAAAATTACAGCAAAAATTGCAATCAAAAGTTTTGTGTTAGTCCACTATTACTCTAAAATAATTCTCAACTAATTGTTATCAATATTTTTACTTTTTCTAAAACATCTGAAAACATAATTTATAACAAATTTCATGTAAATTGTTTTACAACTTACCGTTTTATAGAACATACACGATCTTCTATCTTCATCTTCACCTTCGGGACAATCAATAAAACCATCACACAGCACATGATCGTCTATGCAACGATATCGTCCTTGCAAATCCGGTGTCGGACATGCAAAACGTTCCATGCCATCCATTGCGGTGGGACATTCTACAAAGAAAAAGACAAAACAGAAGAAAACCAAAATTAATTCACTATAAATATACAAACATAATAATAAAATTGTCTGTTGTGTATATATAAAAATAATTGATTTTAAATTAAAAATATTATTATAATATATATTATGTATAACGAACGAATGAAGAACTCCTTCAGTTCTGGCGCTCAATGCCAAAGCTGAATTCTATACGAACTCAAGTAAACAAGCGAAAAGGAAAGAATTTATTGTATTTTAATTGGTAATTTACATGCAACGTACAAAAATTCCAATAAGAACAACGCCATTCATAAAAATGAGCGTGTGCAACCTGTCGCATATATCCTGTCATTGTCCTTTTGACGTCAGCACTTAATTTGCTCGTATTGTGAAATTGAGCGCAGAGCTAAGCTAGTTTATGGCATTTTAATTTATAGCTTTTTCACTATATTTGTTGTTGTTTTTTTTTTACTCTATTTTTCTATATATACCATATTGTATGTTTTGGTATTGTCTTAATTGTTGTTGTTGTTGCTATCGTTATTGTTGTTGTAATTGTTATAGAATTACAACATTATTTCATACTACAAAATAGTTTAATTGTTGTTTGTATTTTGTATTTTTCTTTGGTTTTTTATTTAACAACAAAATAAATTGTACACATGAATGGATAAAAATAGTACGAATAAATAAATATTCATTCGATATCTCCTTAATCGTTAATCCTCCATAGACGCATTGATGGCCATATTAAGATTACACTTCAATTTAAGCTCTTTAACTAGTAATTATTACTATTTTAATACTTTCTAAGTTCGAAATACTGTAATTTATTCAACATTTATTAACAAAATAAAATGTTAACTACTGATTTTATATGCACAGTTCTATATATAATATAATAGATTATTAAAATGACTAGTAAGGATTACAAATATGCGCACTTATTTTTATTCAAAGTACATTTTTTCAGTGGTATGAGTTTAATCAAATAAAATTAGATCCATATTAATACAGTAATGTACCGTACCTGATGACCCAATTGAACTACAACTAACTTCTTACTGCTGTAAATGCCGAACTGGTGACAATACGGCATTTTTACCTCATCTAACGTGAGCTCATTCATACTTACCATATCGGAAGGATTTTCATGCCAGTTTTTGGATTAAAAATTTTTGTTTAAATATATAAACACAAAATTCTTGTTAGCAAGAAGACCACAATTGAATTTTGTAAGTACAATTTAATATTCAGATTTGAATAAATCATTTCGAGTCAAATCATATGACAAATTATGTTATATGTCATATGACACATGACGAAGAATATAGCAGTTTCTTTGTTATGGAAGTGGTAGGTATAAAATTTCATATTTCTTCTCCTCAAAAAGTATTCGGATTTTGTAAATGAAACACACAAATTTAAATTATATTCCAAATTTATTTTATCTCCTTCACAATATGCTCCTTCTGAACCGATACACATACGCCAACGCTTAACCCAATCTTCCATACACTTTTCGTAGGCCCGTACAGGTATTGCTTTTAGTGCCTTCAGCGAATTCTCTTTTACCGATTCAATCAACTCAAAACGCCGCTTAATACGAAGGATCAATATGAGTTTCGGGAACAAAAAAAAGTCGCACGGATCCAGATCTGGCGAATATGGTGCCTGAGCGATGACTGTGGTGCCGTGTTTGGTCAAAAAATCGCGTACAACAAGAGTTTTCCATAGTAAAAAACGCTAAATGCACTTAAGGTTGTCTCAGATTAACAGCTGCTGTAAACAAACTAATTGACAGATGGCGCTCAAATTTGTACCATATGTCAAGAAAGGGTGTAACAATATAACAAAAAAAAAACAAACAAACATACAACAAAATCCGGATACTTTTTGAGCAGCAATTGCATATACAACTGCAATGGATCGGAACAGAAAAATGGAATAGCCTAATCTAGCAAGGCTAGACTAGACTTGAAATAAACTATGTTCTATACCAAATCATCTAAAATTAGCTGAAAAACAGTTTCAATTTCATATTGTGGGTAGGAGGACAAACATATTAGAACTAACCGGACGCATAGATAATACACAAGTATCTGGCCAATACTAATGTTCAAATGTTAAAAATATCAACGAGTGTATTGAAAAATGGGTCGTCCAATAGCTGAAGCCTTGTTTGGAGAAACCACGATCACTGTAGTACACCGTATTTGTTTATTTGTTTTCAAAATAAACAAATACTATAATATTTTTATTTCAAAAAAATACTTTTAAAAATTACTTTTCAAAAAAATCTTTGTGTTTCCACATTGTGGGTAGAAGGAAGGACATATCAGAATCAGTAGACGCTTTGATAATATACAAGTATCCGGCCAATACTAATGTTGGAAATATCGCTGAGTGTGTTAATGAATGAGAGTCGCAAGGTTTAAGCGTTCTTCTGAACAAACCACAGTCAGTTAAACATATTCACTATGTTACTGTATTAAACATCATTATTCACTCTTGTGCTAAATTGAGCCTCTATATATGCCATCAACGTTTCCAAAAAAAAAAAATGAAACCAATATTCACTCTAAATGATGCCTCAATAAAAGTGTAATTCAATTTTAAAATCAAAGTGATCAATAAAATCAACAAGCAAAACGACAAAATGACAAAAGGACAAAACAGCAAAATACCATAAAGCAAAGAGCAAACAAATGAACATAAAAGAAATAATAAAAAATCGAAATGAAAATTTGTGAAATTATCTGAGGAAGAAAAAGTAGACAACTACTGAAAATAGAAGCAGTAAAAGGACAGGCGATGGAATCTCAAAACCGTACCCAAAAAACAAAACAAAAAAAAATTTAATTCTATAAAATCTATAGAGAGTAAAAAAAAATTTTCCTTTTTTTAGTTGAAACTAAAACTACACAAACAAAATTACTATATTCAACACAACTCAACCGAACTGAGCTGAACTGAGTTGAACTGAACAAAACCGGAGGCGCCAATATGTCCTACAAGTGATTTATTTTTATGTATTTGTGTTGGAGAAATTGTTGTGCTAAAAACGACGGTGGAATAGAATCGCTCAAAAGTAAAATTGAAGTTTATCCAAAGCATAGAAGTATAACTTTTATATATATATATATGTGTATATATATTTATATATGTACGTGCATATATGTGATTTTGTGGAAGTATGGCTTTGCATAGTAAACTATACTACATAGAGTGTAACAACACACACTGTGGGAATGTTAGCAAACTACATACCAAAATTACACTAAAAATAGTTATTTAAGTTTAAATATATATACCACCCCCATACCACCTATGTCAATAATATGTCACACTTATGCAAGTAAATGCAAACACACTCGCACTCATACTCACACTCATACTCATACTCACACTCATACTCACACTCATACTCATACTCATACTCATACTCACGCTCATACTCATAGTCATACTCCTATTAGGAGTATGTAAAGCCAGTTATATACAAGCAATTACACAGTCAAATAAAGTAAATTTTGCCTGTTCTATGCTGTGTGAACAAGTATAAAGCAGAGTACTGTGAAGTCAACGAAATCCAACTATAAAATCAGAGTGAAGTCTGTGTGTAGAATGGAGGACACACGTAGCATAGTTTTAGGTGTGCTATGTACACTAAACATAATGAGTGCGGAAAAAAAACTTATATAAGCAAATATAGCAGCGAGGCGATATAAATAAACATGTTTGACTCGTAAATATGTTTACTTCTATTTGCACAGGTTGGTTTTTTTTTTTTTGTTTTTTAAATAGAATTCTAGCGTTTGCAGACATTTGAATTTTATGTTTGAATGGATTTGCGACTAGCGATTTATGCGCTTTGGCGTGTCGCAAAACAGCTCGCACTCTACTTCACCTTTGTGGCTCGTGCTGCATGGTATGCTATCCATGATATGTCCATGGTATATATGCCTGGTACATGCATGGCTATGCAGCAAACAACCATGCAACCAGGCAAGCGTAAGTTAGCTTGTTTTACTTTTAAATGCCAACATTCGTAAATGCTTTTCATATGTAAGTGACCAAAATCATTTGGCTTGTGTACGTGGCATGCGTGGCATGGATGCATGATTGTTGATAAAACTTATTTTATTTCAACAAAAAACAATATTAAAAATAAGTATTGAATGAAATGAATAAACAAGAGAAATATCACGAAAGAGAATTTAAAAGGTGGTATCGAATTAAGTTGCAATATTTTTTCTTTAAAATTGTTCTTGTAAACACGCACACTGCATACTTCGTTAACCTTAGTGCAGTAGTTCAGTGTTTTTTGCTTTTATTTTGATAAGTATTTAGTGTAAATGCAGTTGATTTCTTTTATTTATTTCAATCAGTTGCATGAAAATTCAATTTCAAAAGCGGTTTAAGTAAGATTTAAATGCAATCGAAGTCAGGTATGAAATAGGTTTAAAGGATTTTTCTTATTACGGATTTGATTTTTATAAATTTCTAGATATACACTTACATTCGAGTTTATTTTGTGCATATTGTACAACTACAGATTTTTTAGCACAACTATATAACTATATAACTTTTATATTTATTAAAGAAAGAAGAAAACAATTTATTTTGAAAACACTCATACGATTTGTTGTAAATATATATATATATACTTAAAGGTATTTACAGAAAATTTAACATGAACTAAATTCTAGTTTTATTTATTTACTATTGAATTGAAACGTTTTTTATAAAATTATATCTTTTTAGCTATTTTCTTACCATGAAAATTATAGTGAAAATAATATTTATAAGAATAATTTACAAATAATATTAATTAATAAAAATATTAACTCTAGAATAGTAGACCTGACTACAATTATTTACACATTAATTATTATTTTAATAAAAAAAAAATTAGTTAACAACACTCATACGCACTGTTGTGCAAAAAATATACTACAGACTCTTTGGAGAAAATTTTATATAAACATTTTAATATAAAGATTTTTTATACTTTCTTGTGCGGTACGCAGATCTTAGATCAATCATTGAATAATCACGACGATTATCAGGAACACTCAAATTAGTCAGTGAGATAGGCGGGACTCTTTAGAATCCCCCCACCTATCATAGAGTAAAAGAGCCCAGCTGCACTAACTCGGAAAAGGCTTAACTAACTCTAACTCTAACTGTTTCTTCGAAATCTTCGAATATTAATATTTAACTATTTTTGATGTATAGTTAGTATGAATTCCGAATATTTTTCGATTTTTTGTCACTAGCTGGTCTATACGCATCTAGTCTATTGTGTCGCTTAAACGAAACAATTAAGGAAAAGCAACCAAAATTGACCAATAAAAAAGAAGTTGTGTTTCAATGTCAGGCCACATATATTTCTTATGACTTGGTGGAAATGGCCGAAATTTGATTGGAAAGATTTGATGCATCCATAGTATAATCTAAATCTTGCTCTCTCTGAATATTGTTTCTGTCTCTGCAAAACTATTTTAATACTGAACCACTGAAAATCACTTTGACCAATTTTTTGCATAATAAACCACAAAAGTTCTACACCGTAGGAATTCTGAAGTTACCCGAAAAATATTTTATCTCCTCTATTCAGTTACATCATGAGTGTGATTTCATATAAAAATATATAGAATTAAAAAAAGAAATTACACATATGTATTATTTAGAAGGTTTGAGATACTGCATTACGCACTTATTGTCCAACAATGCATTAGCA